TCATACAATCTTGTGACTAATTTAAAAAAAATCACTGAATTATACTCTTTAAAGGACAAAAAAAAAAAAAAAAAGAACTGCTGTCAGGGTATTGTAAATGGCTGCTGATTTTGACCCTGAAGTTTCACTGTTTGGCTGGCTGGCCAGCTATAGACTGAGGGTTCACAGCTTTATTGACACCAGTGTGAGTTAACCTCTCTTGGATGTGTTTTGACGCAAAAGGAAAACACTATAAACCACATCCCAAGCACAAATTGTGCCAGTTTCTCTGGTAACTGCCTCTCTGAGGCACATCAGATCTGCATAACTGAAGTTGTTTCAAAATGTCAACAGTGCATTCTGGGGAATTGCAGGCAATGTCATGGACCAAAATGTATATGAACTGCTATATGGAAAATGACTTTGCTCTGTAAATGTTCACTCAAATCACAACAAAAATTAAAAAAACAAAATATGTCAACAGTGTCTGAACCCATTAGCTTAGGAACAAGCCCTGGTTTAAGTTTCCAAGGAGGATAAAAGACAAATTTAGTTGACATGGGTATAACGAGGACTTAAAGACATTATAGTACTGTTTAAGGCCCAGAAATCTTGTTAGTAAGCTTGTAAATGCAGGCTCAGGTTTGCAAGCAAGTTCAGGTTTAGGTGAGAAGTGGCTACAACAATAAATAAAATAGTGTGATTTTTTTTTTAAATGCCACTCTTATTGTAAAAATACATTGAATGTATTTTTATTTTTGAGAAGCAGTGTGAGGTCTTAGGATGAGTGTTGGTTCAAACCCCATTGACACAACCCAGAGTCTGATATTCATTAAGTTTCTTAAATATGGAGGTGTACTGTGAAGGTTAGACATAACAGGAGGATAAAGGGCCTCACAGTGCATCTGGCAAGCAATAAATCATAGTCGTTAGGTGCCATCGAGTCGATTTTCAACTCATAAAGTCTCCATGTGTGCAGAGTAGAACTGCCTCATACTATTACTAGGCTATAATCTTTATGGGAGCAGACCACCAGGTCTTTGTCCTGCGGAGTGGCTGGGTATGTTCCAAGCACCAACTTTCCTTTAGCAGCCAAGCATGTAAATGCTACACCATCAGTATTCCTTAACAGGAGGAGGATATGGAGTATGTAGCTAAGTGCCTCCATGAAAAACTGCCTCTTTTGCCATGAAACCAAAAGAACTGGACGGTGCCCAGTTTCCATTACAGATCAATTTGATCGAAGATTCCATTGAATCAAAAGGGGGGAAGTGCAGAACAGAATTTCAAATTCTCATGGACTTCAGATTTTTTGGAGCCATGAAAGCTGATGAGCCTTTAAAACTATTGCCCTGAGATACTCTTTAAACCTGAAACCAAAAATAACCCCTGAAGTTTTCTTAAAACAAAATAATAGTTTAACTTAACTAGTAGAGATTATCTGCTTTGAACATTGTGTTCTTTCAAGATCTATCTATATGATATCAAATTGACAACAGTAACTGGAAAGATTAGATAGGAAACTTAAGGGGCAGTGAGTTTATGTAAACGAGGGAGGAACAACTCAGAAAAGGAGGGTGAGAATTGTTGTACAACTCAAAGAACATAATCAATGTCACTGAATTGTACATACAGAAACTGTTGAGTTGGTGGATAAATATATA